AAAACCAGGTAATCCAGGAAGAGGTAATCAAACTCTTGTAATTTGGTTCGATTCTAAGCTAAAATATCTTGACTAGTTAGAAAATACTGTCGTAGCTCCTAAAAAGAATGGTAAATAATGAGTCTGTGTATATTATGCCGATTTGAATCAGGCGTGTCCTAAAGATTCTTTTCCTTTGTCGTATCTAGATAAATTTAGTCATGAGCTTTTATGTTATTTGGATGCTTATTCTAGGTATAACCAAATTAAAATGGGTCCAGAAGATAAGGAATAAACTTTTTTTATTACAAACAAGGGGACTTATTGTTACAAAGTTATGCCCCTTGATCTAAAGAATGTTGGAGCTACATATCAAAGATTGGTGAGCAAAATATTCCAAGAATATTTGGGGAAGACTATGGTAGTTTGCATTGATGACATGCTAGTAAAGTCAACGCAAGAAGGAGATCATCTCAAGCATTTGGAGGAAACCTTTGCTATTCTTCAAAAATATAATATAAAGCTTAATCCAAAAAATGCGCATTTGGTGTAGTGTCAGGTAAGTTCTTGTGTTTTCTGGTTCTTAACAGAGGAATCGAGGTGAATCTAGCTCAAATTAAAGCAATAGAAGAAATACTGTATGTGATTACAAGTAAAAGAGAAGTACAAAGACTCACGGAAAGAATAGAAGCTTTGGGGTGATTCATATCTAAATCTTCTAAAAAATATTTCAAATTTTTCTCATTGCTAAAAAAGCAAAATAAGTTTGAGTGGACAAATGACTGCCAACAAGCGTTGAACGATTTGAAAGCATATTTATCAAATCCACCTTTACTATTAAAAACCAAGGGAGGAAAAAATATTGCTCGTTTACTTGGTTGTATCAAAAGTTGCAGTAAGCGCAATATTGGTACGAGAAGAAAAGGGTACATAATCTCTCATCTATTATATTAGCAAGGCATTGTTAGAAGTTGAAACGAGATATCCGAATTTAGAAAAATTAGCATTAGCATTAAAAATGACATCTAGAAAATTACAACCTTATTTTCGATATACCCCCATATCTGTTGTAACCATTTTTTCGTTACGAAATATTTTACATAAGCATGATTTATCAGGAAGATTATCCAAGTGATCAATTGAACTTAGCAAATATGATATTATCTATCAACCACGAAATCCCATAAAGTACATGTACTAGTAGATTTCGTAGCAGGTTCTAGTTCAAATCTACTCCCTGAAACTGAAAATCAGTTACGATCATCTACCAGATCTAATTTGGGACTTGGAATTTATACACCGATGGATCCTCTAATGTTAAGGGAGTAGGTTTGGGTATTATTTTAATAGTACCTTTTAGGAAGATTATTAGACAAGCGATAAAATGTTATTCTATTACTAATAATGAGGCCGAGTATGAAGCAATGGTTGTGTAACGACCCGATCGATCATTTTACTTTATAGATCCTCATTCCCCTATTTGAGACTTCCCGTATGTGATTACTATTTCATAACTTGCGGGGATGGTTGGTTTTGGAAGGGTTCGGGTTGAATACGGAATACTTATTTCCATAATAGTGGTCTAAGATGGCCAAGTTTGACTTGAGTCAACATTTTGAGTAAACGACCTCAGCACCGGGATTTGAAGATTCCAATAGGTTCATATGATAATTTCGGACTTGATCGTATGTTCGGATCGAGTTTGGGTAGAACGATAGCGTTTCTGCGCTTATTATTGAAAGTTGGCATTTTGAAGATTTTAGAATTTTCTAAGTTTGACTAGAAGTGGAATTTGGTGTATCGATGCCGTTTGGGATTCCAAGCCTTAGAATAGGTTCGTATTGTGATTTATGACTTGTGCGTAAAATTTGGCATCAATTGGAGCTGTCAAAGTATGTTTTGTCGCGTCCGGAGTTGGTTGAAATGAGTTTGAAGCTTAGAAGTTGATTAATTTGGTTTTGATGTGTGATTCGTATTTTCGGTGTTATTTTTTCTAGAGCAAGTTAAAGTTGGCTGAAAATTGCTGGTGTGCCGGTGTGCTTCGCGATCACGAAGGGTATTCCGCGATTGCTAAGAAGGAAATTTGGAGGGCAGCTGGTTGCTCTTGCGCACGCAAAGAAGCTCAGCGAACGCGAGGGAGGACCTGTCTATCCTTCATAATTGCAGAGGCCCAATCGCGAACAGGATTAAGGCAGGGGAGGAATTAGGCTGGAAGGTTGTTGACCTTCGCGAACGCGACTAGGGCCACGTGAACGCGAAGGTCATGGATCATAGGTGATCGCGAACGCGACCTTGTGGTCACGAACACGAAGGGTATTGGGTAGCTGGTAAAATGGCCTTCGCGATTGCGAGGCTTCTTCCGTGATCGCGAGGCTTCTTCTGTGATCGCGAAGAAGAACAGGCCATGGCAGAACCCTTTTACTTCGGGACTTTGCCTATTTCTCTCATATCTTTAGTAAAGATACCACTAAAAAAAGAAAGGATGGATTGAATCTCTGAAGATTGCTCTGTTTCTGGGTGTTTTTCGGTTGAGAATCTTTTCTATAACTGGAAATACAAATTTTGTGTGTTATAATTGAATTTGTTGAGTTATATTAGGAGTCTATCGCGCTAATTGATTAACTTACTGTTTTTAAACAGCTGAAGATCTTTTTGTTTCGCAAATTCCGTTACTGTATTCACGAATACAGCTTGCGAATACATTCGAATACATTCTCTACTTAGCTGGACTCCCCTATTTTTTGCCGAGTTTTGCTACTGTATTCATGAATACAGTAGCAAAAATACATCGAGAACAGACTATAACAACTGAAAATATAGCTGTAGGAAGTAATTTAGTAAATGATAGCTATAGCAAGCTAATAATCACTAAAACATAGTGGTTTCTGAAAATTTCTCTATCTAATTTTAGAGAAGTTACTCAATTTCTTTATATAGAGTATCTTATGTTAAATAATCCAAAAAGAAAAAGATAAATTATTAAATAATTTCGTGAGGCAAAAGTAGAAATCACAATAAGATATATGAAAACTTTTCTAGGGGCATGATTTCTTCCTTCATTGCACGTAAATAGAGAAAATGCATAAGTACCCCCAATCTATGACCGAAATTCCAACTACACACTTTTTCTTTTTGAGGGTCCTATTACCCCCTGAACTATTTTAAAATAGGATTGTTACACCTCTTGAAAGGTCGCAACCACATCATATGTTGGTCGTTGAAGCCATGCCAGGTACATTTCATTAGGAATTTATTTTAATCTTTTCTTATTCTTTCCCTTGTTTTTTGTACTATTATTCTATTCTTTTTTCTTTCTATTTCTTTCCCTTCTCTTTCTCCAATTACGTAACTTCTTTCCAAAGCGTGACCAACCCATCCCACAAAATTCTTTTCAGATTTTTTTTATGTCCTTTTTCTTCTGAAATTATTGTTTAGTTTGTGATTATGCAAGAAGAATATAATCATAAATGGTGGGATCTGATGTTAATATGATGGATCCGCTGATGAATGTTCTGCAACTTTTGGCCGGAAAAAATGGATTTGGATGGTCGAAAAACTTTCCGGCGAGGGACTTCCTTCACAACCTGGTTAATTTTCTTGCAAATTTATGGACTGATAATAGAAAAATCTTCTACAACTCCAAATCCTTCACAAATTTGTTTACTTTCCAATCATTTAGAATGAATATGAATTACTGAGTTGTTTAAACAATTTTTGTCTTCTGAAAAAGCTAGTTACACTGAGGGAGAAAGATGAGACAGAGATAGGGAGGTCGTGGTTGCCGGCCAGCCAAGCCGCCGGGGTGGCGGCGGCGACAGAACGAATTAGAGAGAGAGAAGAAAGTTGCTGGGGAGTTGAAAAAATGGGGAATGCAGCTATGGACTTAGGACAATAAGAGGGTGGAGAGTATAAATTAGGGTTTCAGTGGTGAAAAAATTTTGGGGTAGTGACGCGGTGGTGGCATCGGCTATGTTGCTAGTCGGGTGGAGGAAGAAAAGAAATTAAAAAAGAGATAGAAACAAAAAAGAAAAGAAAAACTAAAAAGCTGTATATATTTAATAAAAGGAATATTAAAAGTAGAAATTTAGTATTTGTTTTCGTTGCTCACTCTCTTTAATAGAGTGAAATACACTCACTTGCCACGTAAGCATTTAGGGAGGTAATAATTTCATTTTAAAATAATTCAGGAGCCCGAAAAGGAAAAATGTGTAGTTGAAATTTCAATCATAGGTTGGGAGGTATTTATGCATTTTCCCCACGTAAATAGGATCAACATTTATCACTTCAGAAACATACACTTTTGTCTTTAATTTTTATAACTTAAGCACTGTTTGATGAAATTTATGTTATTTTAAAAAAAATTTATACTTATCGATCATGTGGGGTGTGTCCAGGACTAGTTATAAATATACTAAGAGACAGAGGTATTGGTTACATCTGTACCTGTTGCCTAAAATATAAGTCAGCCCTTGCTCCCAATTGAACACTCTCGGAGGACACAAAAAGAGTTCACTATAGCAAAATCTAGCAAAAAGCAAACTGCACATTGTCTTAAGAGACTTTTTAAGCTCTTCTTTGCTAGTTACTCAATACTCCTCTCACTACTATCTACTGTTAATACCATAATATCTCAACAACGAAGGAAGAAGCATGAGCAAGAGTAACTTACCATATTTTTAACCAGACGGATACGGAATGACTTAATGATATCAAACTAAAAATAGAGCACTTCCTGCACAAAACCTCACTGCCAAGTGCCAAGCATGAAAGTTATCTACCTAGTAAGTAGTAATGCGCACCAAATATTTCAAATTCTTGAATTGAATTTAGCCAGACAAAGACACCATCAAGAGATCACAACCTCATAAATCAGGATGTCAATCTTGAAAGAGCCACTTACGGATGTCATACTTACTAACTTAACCTATAAAAGCTTGGAGAAGACATGCAAAGCATAAGACAATTTTCCACCTCAACAATTGATCCTCATTAAAGGAATACAATCAATGGCTCGAGCTCGAGAATAGGAATCTTCAGATCCATTGGAACAGAAAATATGAATGTTATTGTCATTCAACAAATGCTTCAGTCTTGGGCAAAAATACTGCCTATACACCCAAGAAGTCTTTTTGACTTTTGGAAATGGTTATTATCACAATAAAGAGGAAGTAATACCATGGCTTTGGGATTACAAATTCACGAATAACTTAACAAGAGTATAAGAATTACTTAAAGTAGTAGCATGCGTAGTTTTCCTTTCATCATAAAATGTTACAAAACTGGCTACAATAATCGACGTTGATCACGTACCAAATGTCACATCTTTGACATGTTTTGGAAAGAGAAGGAATGACATCTTTCTTCTCTTCTTTGGGAGGACCTATGCTACTTATCTGTGCAGATCTTCTGAATCTTCGGACCTGTGTAATTATGCATACTGGATCAGCCTCACCAGTAACTGTGATCAAGGACAATGGAATTTATGCCTTCTACCTTTGATATTAACTTCATCACCTTCATTCTGCACTTTGAACAAACTAGATCCACTGTTTTCTGCAATAAAAGAGTCAGGTTTCTCAGTACTTCTGAACTTTTGGAAGACGCAAATAAACTGAAAAAGTACTGCAACCTGTCAGAACAAATAAGATGACTTATCATCACAGTTTACGGTACAAAGCATTTTCATCAAATGAAGAACTAAAACTTTTGCTAATGACAAGGTGTCAACAATGAATTGTACTCAACTGTACAGAATGTGGGGAAAAATGATGCTGTGTTAAGTCATGAAGTTGAATTGTAGATACTATTTATAAATTATCGTCCCGTGGACTTCTTTAATTATGCTAAACAGAAATTGTTTAACATCCATATTTACTTCTGTTTTTCCTGACATACTTGCTGACGCTCTGGTAGAATACTAGATATATTGTCAGTGTTAGTTGGCAGTAAGAGTAAATGCTGGTTAGAAAGTTCTTCATTGTCTTACCTATTTCTTCCCATTTACATTTATTATACGGTACCGCCTCTTTCCCTCAAAATTTTCTTTTCTCTATCATTCATCTACACCTGAAGTGGCCTCAAATAAGGACTCAACACAGCCACAACCCACAAGCAATGTAAAGGGGAAGGACAGAATACTTGCTACTACTAAATGTTTCCAGCGCAAAGTTGTATTAAAAAGACTTCATTACTGCACATGATAAACAAACTTGACATAAACCAACCAAGCACATTCCTCTGACTTACTGAAAAACTGTTATATATCAGTCCCTAGAATGAACATAAATATGGGGAATCACGCCGCGTCCACTATATAAAAGGCATTACGATGTTGCACAATGCAAGGTTTAGCAACCTCTAAGGTTGACCTCCAAGGTGAAATGATACAAATAGAGTTAAATTCAACATAGACCTGAGGTGTCGTGTCAAATCTAGACCCTACACCTGTTGGCTCACCAAACAGCAGAATGTGCCAATTCACGATTTGCACCAAAACTTATCCCGAAACCAGCTGTACGAATAAATAGGTCATGCGGTCATGGGATGGGAAGGTGCTTATGTGGTTAATATATCACTATCCTTGTGGGGGAGGGAAATCCTGACAAGTCTCTTTCTCCTTGGGTTCAACTGACCTCTTCTTCCAGAGTGAAACAGATAGCTACAACTTTCATTTAGAATTTAAATCATAGTAAGTAATAAAAAGCAGAAACTAAATCATATAGTAGTTTTTTTACTAATAACTCTAAGAAAATCACAGGCAAAATGCAGTTAATCACAAACACTCACAACTGCTTCCTCTTTGATGAATAGCACTAGGGTACCTTTCAGCTCTATTATAGAAGTTGACGTTGCATCATGAGTTTTAACTTAAGTAAATAACACCAGAATCTATATTAGCTGATTAATTTCATTTAAGTGGATAAATAAGAAATTCATTCTTTGTTCCGAATAAGAAGAGGTAAAAGGGGGGTACCATGAGTTTCTTCCCAAGGTTCTATCAGAAAAAATATTCAGATTGGTAACCATTGAATGATGCTGAAGGTTGCAGAAGAACCCAGCACGACAACAACAATTTACAACTAAGATTAGACTAGTGGAAGGGATAGTGAGTGAGACTTAGAGACTTGAAGGTGATATTGCTGACGAGAGGAAGCTCAAGCTGGTCTTTTCATTGTTCTATTACTTATTAAGACTCTTCTTCATATCAGATGCACAGCATACATTGCCTAAGCTGCTGGATGGTGTAAAAATTGGACAAGCGAAAGCTACATTTAGCATGCTTCTATTTCAATTGAATCATCCATTATAAGATAGACAGTATTAGGTTCAATTAAATGTCTCATCAAAGGTGGGTTGTGTCGTTGTTACCTCTTCGCTGAAACTTCAGTCACCAAAAAAGAAGGCAAGAATAAGATACTTCATCAGGAATCTATCAAAGAGAAAGCTCAAAAAGGTCTCCGAATTGATTACCAGAAACTGTCCTCATTGTCAAGCTCCGATAGTGCTTCCAGTGTGGTCGAGTTGATGATTGGACTTCACCATCTGAACATAGCAGCTGACAATCTGTTGGTCTAACTTGTAGTAGTATTCAATCCTTTCCAAAGGTTTCAAGTCCAGGTCAATGAAAGATGCCTAGCAATTTGCAAGCCAAAAGAATCCATTAACACCGGTAAAACCTATGAAGCCAGTCTTGGAACTAGAGAATCTGTGTTTTTCAGAATTAAGTGGATTGCATTAGCATTTACATGGTAACCAGTATTAATGCCACACTGTCATCAATCTTGGTTCTAGAGAAACTGATTTCAGAATTAAGTGGATTGCAATAGTCTTTAACATGTAAACCAGTAATTATGCGACACCATTAGAATATGGAAACTATCGTGGTATAAAGCCTATCTTGATACGGATCCAAAACTACTAAACGAAGTTGGTTCCATTTCCGGAAAAAAGGAATGATAAAAAACAGATGAAGGGGTTAGGTATGACTTTTTCTTTTTAGAAGAGAGGGCTTAGGTATGACTTAATGTTATTTAGTCGACACAATAAGTTGCACTAGAGTAAATCAAAATTATGGGACTTTAAAATTAAAAATCTTTCAAGTTATATTGACATTCTAAGTTGCTCGGACATGGGTGCGGGTGTCTGACACGTGTGCAGATCTAGAGGTCAGATTCTTCGACATGTGGATTCTAAGATTCGGGGATACGGATCCTAGTACGGATACAGGTACGGAGACCAACTAAAAATAATCAAAAAAATAAAAATATAAAAGTATTTCTACATTATGAAAATTTTTTGTCGAATACTTACGTATAGCTTGTAAAATATGAATTTCTCTCAAGTCGTAGATAAATAAAGGATTCATTTCCTAGATAAGATATACTATTTTCTTCAAATTTACCCTAGTTTTGATTCTGATTTCGGGCATCAAATTGTATTTCGTCTCAAATTTTTCCGTCTGTCGTGGTCAAAGTACCCAAAATCGTTGGACCAGATCCAGTACAGATCCCATACCCACACCCACACTAGTGTCGTGTCGACACGGGTTGGCACCTAAACTGCCGTGTCAGAGCAACTTAGTTGACATTAGACCTGAAGTATCACCATATAAAATAAATTCAAGAATGAATTATCCATATTACTCTAGAACCCAAGGCAGGTTGAAAGAAGATCCATTTTCCATGGTATAACATGTTATTCTAGATCGAAAGGAGACTAAACAAAAGAAGGGAAGAGTAATACCTTGTAGTCAAAACTTTGGTCGGTTGATTCTAAGGAGACAATGCTATATGGGGATTCCACATTACCAGCTTCTCTAGGTCTAAAACTAATTATCATACTAAGGTCCTTTGCAGTTGCAGCTATCAAGTAGTCCCTCACAATCTTCAAGCTTTCCTCCATCGACATTGAATGGAGAGAGTTATATCTCTTCGATGATTGATCTTTATCTAATTGTCCACAGACCATGCAAGGCTGAGAAATAACATTATAATATGCGTGAATTGCACCTTCAATGTCAGTTGTGTCTAGCTTCTGGACTTCAAGAAGCCGATTTAGCAACTCTGAACTACAGACAGTCTTGGAGATGAGCTCTAGAAAATATTGTGTCCGCATGCCCTCTTCTGCCTGAATTACATGCTTGAGCGAATTTTCAAATGCTTTACCAACTTCACAACTAGTAGTGTCTGCACCACCACCCAAACCACCAATGATGAGAGAACCATCCAGGAAAACCCGAAAATTATTCTGTGGGGTCCTAAAAAGGTTGTTTATTGCCTTGCGTACTCTGTCTCTGGATCCAGAGAATAAATCCAGAGGATCATATGCACTTACCTCTGATATCTGATATAGGACAAGACGACAAGTACCAAAAAGAAACAGAAATGAGTGTTAATGTAAGTGGAAAGTGAATATAGTATAAAAGTGATTATCAATGGTGACATCGACAGTGTACAAGATTGACCAGGGGTTTGGGGGGGGAGGGGGGGG